TATTGTACTGCACTGGCTAAATTGCTTATCTACAGCGAGTGACTCGTCGCAACTTTAAATGGCTGACCAACTACTCGCTGTATAAATATTTCCATAACCCAATTTTCGCATGCTTCTGAGCCTACTTCCACGGCTTCGTGTTTAGATTGCCAGGCGCTGTAAATACCCGATTCGCTCGAGAGAAAAAAAAGCTGGCGAGTGAACCTGCAGCTTTCTGTTCTAGCCTCTATTAGCGGAAAGATGTTTCGGTGGCGCCCTCCTTTGGTTATCCTTCGTGACGTCATTACCTAGCGAACGACAAGTTCGATAATGTCTGTAATGGACATGGTGGAAGCCTGAAATCATAGCGCTCTCAAAGCAACGCTGCCAACGGCGTCAAAATTGAAGTTCTTACATTCCTCGTATTTCTGTTAATAAGACATCCTTTGCTGACGTCATAGTCTGCATTCGACCAGTTGTGGTGGGCCGACCACAGCGACGCTTTGGATCGTTCACGTTGCCAATAGATGCCGTCGATTTCGCAGAAGTTTCCCAGACGACCTACAGCTCGACGAGCGCGTTTTGCCGTTCCTTTCTCGGAAGCGAATTTGAATGTAAAGCCACGGAACGAAACCTGGAAGCCTACCCCATAGACTCGGCTGGAAGAGTACGTGCCGTGGTCACACTGTCATCGTACAAAACACAGTCTATAGACACACTCTGTAGCCCTCTCTGTAGAACGGTCACATTCGTCATACTAAAACTGTCTGCATAGATAGCATACAAATGTACGAAACAAGCACTCTCTGAACATGCCCGAGGCGCAGGTAATCATCGTGCCTGCAGCCAACACCACGTGACTTCTGCGGCTTTAAACGCTACCACGGCACCAGACCTGGCCGCCTCTACCACTTGGCTGGCGAGGCGCGCGTGACGTCGTCAGCTGCGTCTGTTTTTGCCCATCGGCGTGTCGTTTCATTAGCGCGCGCGCGTGCCTGCCTCGGCGTCTTCGGCGATGCCCCGCTGCTTATGCAAAGGAGCGGCCCGAGAAGGGAGCCGATCCCGGAACAAGTTCCCGAGGCGTCTGCGTGCCGGCCGAGGTCTTAATCCGGACGCCCTCAGCCAGCCGCGCGTCGTCGTCAGCTGTTTCCAGGCTGCGGGGAAAGGGCCTCCGCGCCGACACCCTTCCGAATAACGAAGCCCCGGTGCCGGGTTTGGCCGCGTCACCTTCCGAAGGCCAACGCGGGGCGCGGTTTGAACTCGAGCTCTGCGTTGGCTTTCGAACAGAACTGACTGAACATCAGTCCCAGGCGAACTCGGACGCAGCGCTCGTGTTATCTAACGTGTCGTGTTGCCCCTGTCTCGGGTTGCTTCGAAATGTTCAGTATACACTGCGGCTCACTTGCGCTCTTGCGTTCTGTTTGTGATGTCATGTACGGCTATGCACTACGCGTGTAGCTTAGGTCACATCAGTGGCGATATTTTATAACACTGCTCGTACTGCGTAAAAATTGAAAAGCAAAAACGAAATACACGGAAACAGATTGATAACCCATGAAAGTACGGCTTTGATATGTCCGACCACTGGACACAGCAAGATCAGCGTTCTTTAAAGCGAACTTGTCACAATAAAACGTAAGACTGGCAACCTTAGTCGAACTTTTGTGTCTGGGCAAAGGAAAACAACGACAAAAATAGCGAGTTTCTAGGAGAAGTTTAGGAGATATGTATGGCATTTAATTTACATTGCACGAAAACGGAAGCGCATTGATGCGCATACAACTTTAGTGATACTTTCATTTATTTTTTTTAGTCCAGTCGTGTTTTAGCAGGAGTGAAAAATTAAACCTTATCAAAGCAACGAAACGCAAAGCAACACAGCTGAAGGGTGGCCTTGACGCATTGCCCGCGTGCTGTTGTGCGAAGCCAACCTTCTTTACCGCAGGCGCGACGAATGTGGACTCGAAAGAACGTTTCCTTATTTTAAAATTATTTTTAACTAAGGTATGAAAATGGGATTTTATATTTACTATTTTTCTTTTTCGGTAAAGCTGCGTCTCCGTGAAATCTTGAAAATATAGATGCGTACCGGTGTCCCAACTAAGTTGATATTAAGTCGGCTGTTGTTGTTTTTCTTCCTTGTTCGTATGACTTCTGTTGCGTTTAAATACAGTTTACTTTTATTTTATTATATTCATTCATATAATATAATTGAAATTTAGAATTAATCTATCTACGGTTCGGGCACTGTTTCTATTTATATTTAAAATGTGACAGGTACAGACCAAAACCGAGACCATATATCGCCACCTTGAGCGGCGGGCAGTCTCAAGGCGTTGGCAGGTCAGGAAGTCTGCAGTTGCGGCCAAACGAAACCAGGACGCACCGGTGCTTTCGCCTTTGCTTGCTGGTGATGGTGCGAGAGACTAATGTCTGTCTGAAGGATCTCTTACATAACTCCAACTGAGTACTCAGATCAGTGGACCATTGACTCATTGTGAACTTTACTAGATTACCTCAATTGATGAATTCCCTCCAGGGAGGCGGAGGGGGGGGGGGGGGGGGGGGTTACTGCTCGTGCAAGCCGTGTCTATGGGCAGTTTCATAACTGAGTAAATCTAGTAGGGTTGCTCATAGGGTACACTGTACACATGTCAATGTGTGCACCCTCACCGCCCAAAAATGTACCGACCTAAAAAAAAAAAACAAAAAAAAACATTGCTACGAGTTTTAGACGGTTGGAGACACCGGAAACATTGCGCGGCACTCCTAGCGCGAACACTACATCTGTGATTGCTCCTATATAATTTTGACAGTGTATTGCCGGACCAAACGTTTACCTCTCATGATAATGCTCGAGCGAGCGCTTTCCACCACCGTAGTAGTTTTTATGAAAGCCCTTAGATTTGAAAATAAAAAAAAAAAAAAAAAAAAAAAACACAACGACAATATGCGGTCGCTTGTTTGCGCGGACAGTTTCGCGCTATGTACGTGCTTTCTGTGCAACCCAATGCCAACTGCCTCTGCCCGTATACTCGTTGTGTTGTGTCTCCGTTTCGTATACACTTAGCATCATCGCGTTGCTCCGTTGCCGTTGCAACTCGACATCAGACCTTTGTTATTACACACCGGCTGTGCGAAGCACCCTATTTGTCTCTCGATACAGTAACCGGACTGCAGCCTTACATCGCTGCACGTGTCGAGCGCATTTGCTATGCCTCTGTCCACAATTCCTAATTTAATATAAGTCGGATCAAACCTGGAGGCGGCGTTGTCTTTCGCGCTATGTGCCACATTTGCGAAACGCCACAATCTCTGAAAGAATTCCACGCATAGAAGGACATAACAAGGATGTGCTGTCTGTGTTCTGTTCCTCCACGCTTGATTCTTTTTAAGTGTGTGCTCCATACTAACGCGCTCACCGCATCACTATCTTTCTTTTATCAGCTTCTGGCGCGTTCGAGACCCTATCGTGGAGGTTGGTAGTTTGATTGAACTTGAGATTTAACTCTTCCGAAGATCTCGGGTCGTGCTTGGATGCAGGGGAAACTAATCCATTTTCCGAGGTGAATACTCGGCGATCTTTATTGAGGTTAACCGCGCAAGCCCGCGATTACTTTCTCGGCGAGCGCGCCCGATTCGCTCATGGTCGATAGTCTAACGGCAAGGCCGTGACCACGAGCAACGCCTCCTATGGAATTCGACCTTTGAAAGAACAGCATCGTCCCTTCCCTTTTCTTTGTCGGAGATTTCTGAAGATCGCGGAGCCGGCACGGGAGAGCTGCGGCGCTATGCCATGTCACGAGCGAGCGGCTGATGAACTGCATGAGCTCATGCACGCGGTTCGCTCTGCGCACCAATACTTGCGGCGTAGGCTTGCACCGCGCCCTTCCATTGCTGAAACACATTGGGTCCAATGTTGAGCGATGCGTTCATCGGTGGCCGCTAGGTCATGTTACGTCGGTCGTACGGTTGCAGCAGCGATGCGTGAGCGTTTTTGAGGGTTGCTTGGCCTCTGTGCTTCCGCGTACACGGGGTCGGTAACTTTACAGGGGCTGATAGATCGGTCAATGAGTATGTAAAAGGTCGATGTGGAACAAAACGTGTTTGTGGAAAATATCGAGTGTTTGATGTTGGTACGTGCTTCGAGATGGCGAGTCGACTAACTTTAGCGTGTAACGTTTTTGCATTACGCTTCCGCGTTACGCTTTTTGAATACTTTTTTAAAAATTATTTGAGAGACACTAGCCATATACACAATTTGTGTAATACGTAAATAAATGAAATCTCCGTCATCTGCCGTTTTGCATCTCCATTTTAAGAGCCAGTTCAATGAGATGCTCATCCCTTCTTAGCAGTGAATCTTTGCTGTTGCTGGCTTCCGAATGTGCGCATTTCATTGATTCCAGCAAGTGTTTACATTTCATTACGGCGCCCCACGTTACAGTCAGTTGTTATTTATGGGCACAGAAGTAATAATAAAGAAGAAGACGATGAATTAAACTTAACCCTGTCAACTCCTCTGATTTTGAGCGCATATCCGACTCGACTATAGCACACTTACAAAATACTGGAAGAGTCTCCCAGAATCGATCATTTCAACTACTAAGTCACTCTGGGGGTTTTAAAAACCCAAATCTATCGTTTTTGTGTCACGTATAGTTAGACTATAGCAGCGTGTTGTACTGCTTGTAATTTTCGGTTTTATCGCGACAGTGCGTTCTATTTTTTTTCCTTTGTTGTCTGTTCAATTGAATAGATGTTCGAAGCTTCTCTTCTTTATACATATGTGTGCTTAGAATATGTCTGGAGGCAGGTAATGTGTGACCAATGTTACAGGACCCTCATACAAAGTATAAAAAGACGTCAGACAATGTCTGGAGACCCTCTCTTGGATGATGTATTAGGAATGTGATCGCCGCCTTAGGGATTAAATGAAATAATGAATGGATGAATAATAATGATGACGATGATGATGAGTGTGTTGTAATGTTTTCCTCTGCCCCGGTTCTCGGATCCAGGTTCCGGGCGTACTCGGACGACGCGGACGGTGTACCCGGAGCGGCTTCCGTACGGCAGCAAGCCCCGCTGGCCCCGGTCTTTACCCGGCGAGGACAGCGGCGGCCTCAACGCGTCGTCCGGGCCCCGTAGCGAGCTGTACCGGCTGGACCGGGGGCTCACGCTGGCCCTGGTCCCTGACTCGAGGCACCTGTCCCCGACCCTGGTCACGCTCAGGTTCGGCGAGGACTCGCTCCCGGACGGACGGACCCTGGTGCCGGACACCGAGGACCTGGGACACTGCTACTACACCGGACACGTCTTGGGACAGCGGGACTCCAGGGCCGTCGTGTCGCTCTGCGACGGAATGGTGCGTCCGCTCGCTTCTCTGCATAGGACCAGAATAGTGCGCGTGGATACTTCGTTTCACCTTAGTACGTCCGGACGCGCAGCCGACGCTACGAGTTCATGGGGGATCAATCAAGCTGTGGCAAAATCGCGAGTCACTGGGCCCTCCCTGTACGTGATTTGTTCAGCGACGATGAGACGCACGCAGAAACACGACCAACTTTACGCTGGTGCTCTTTCGACGCCGTACGAGTGGTCCCTAGCTCGTAGCGTCGGTTGCGTCCGGACGTTAGTTGAAACAAAGTATACGTTACAAAGCGTTTCCAACTGCTCGATCGGGTCACGGGACGATCGCTGCCGCGATTTGCCTTAGCGCGACCGACAGGATACGGGTGCCCAGCCTCCAGCGCCCGTTGCTTGCCTTCCATCGTGCTTTGGCTGCACGCTCGTAGCAACACGACACGCCGAAGCTTCGTCGAAGCTAGGAAGCTCGGGCTGGAGGCGGTACAACAGAAAGACCGATCCCTGCCGTTCTCCTTCTTTCACTCCTTATAGTTGAAGCATGCTCCGTCAAAAATGGAAGGAGGACATACTCTTCTGTCCTCCGCTAAGATATTGGCGCCCGACCCCCGAGAGTATATCTAGATAAGTAGCTTCCAACCATTATGTGTAGGTGTCTGTCGTTTACCACGATGCTCATTATCGCTGCATTAGGCCCGTTAGCTGTCAGCCTGTTTCGCCACGTTTGTCTCGCTCCGTTCATTAACACTCGTTCCGGAAGCCGAGGAAGACACCCCCGGTGGTCGTGTGCCGTCTACCCGGAGAGTGGAAGCCTATTAAGACAACTATTAAGACGACACCCAAGATACGTGCCGTAACAAGGATTCTGACGGAGCCAACGTTCCAATAAGTGAGCCCGCAGCTGCCAGTTTAACGAGACATTCGTCTCTGTCGACTTCTCGGCGACCAGCCTTTCTCTCGCACTCCCGGCGGTGGCGGTCTTCTCTCAGCCAGGGCTCAAGGCCAGACTTGCAAGTAACGCGTTGCAAGTACCGCGCGTTACTTATCTCGTACCTATGCTACAATGTTCGGTTACAAAGTAAAACCTGGTTACTTCTTAAGAGGAGGAAAGGGTTACGTACTTGGTTCCTTTTTTTATTGAGTTAGTAACGAGTGACGGTATTTCGTTGCTTTATTTCAGTGTTCTTAGCGATGTAAAGGTAGGAAAGTGGAAGAGAGGCAATCGTGATCTATCTCATTAAAGTGTACATGTCTGCTCAAGGAACTGTCTCTTATATTCTATCTCTCGAGCTCGGTCAGTGTCATTGCGGAAGCTCCCCGCGGGACTTCCGTCCATAAATTGAGTCGTCGTTCATGGGGCTTAGCGGCTCAGCCGGAGTTTCGTACAGAGAAAGAGAGAGAGAGGGGGAGAGGGGGAAGAGAGGGAGAGACAGACAGACAGCGGGTGTTGCCCAACTTGTCCGGCGGACGCCGCGGCTACCATGTGAGGCACATGGAGCGGTATTAGGGCTTTTAGTGATACGCGGTGAGTGCCGCTGTGGGAAACTGTAACACGTCGGGGTGAGAATTATGGAGCTGCGAGTTGCACAAGGTTGCCGAGCGGTTATTTATGCGAAGGGAGATGGTTACGACTTTGATGGTCGTCTCGGGGACGCGAGCTGTTGCGTCGCTCGGGTCGTGTGTGGTTGGAATCGCCGCAATTAGACACTTATGTTTTAGTTATTTATTTTACGATACTGTTAGCCCTGAAGGGTCAAAGCTGGAAAAAAAGATGCGAGCGAAACAAGTTTAAAAAAGAAAGAAATTCTATACAGCGTTAAAATCTTTTAGGAGACGCACCTTTTCCAACAGGGGCGTACGAAGAAAACGCGTTGTGGCAATCTTACTCTCCGAACAAAGTACACAAAGAACATTCTCAAGTTCAGAAATGGAATGCACAGCATGCAACCACGGAACCTATAGACCAACACACTGTTTCCAAACAAGCCCGAGTTCGCCCACACCCGGTGTGGGCACTGCGCAAGCGCACGAACCAGATTCGCGTGAGGTGAAGCTTCTGCGCATGCGCAGTGGCGACAACAGCGCCACCGCAGAGGCGTGACGTTGAAGCCGCGGGTTGGTCTATAAAAGATTGTTCCACTTATCTTACGCGTGTACAAAAAAAAAAATTGTTTAAGAATGTTTATGCGGGTATGAATGGCGGCGAGAACTTTTGGATGATTTAATTGTTCTGAACGGTAATCTGGCTTTAAATATTGAGAACAGTTAATTTCTGAGAGATCATTATAAATTTCGAAGAAAAAAAAAGCAAACAGTTTCAGCCGCTGGCAGATGTTTCTGTCCTTCAGAAGTTACAAGTCGGCCCGGCTTGCCTTTTCAGCGCAGAATGTCACGCGGAAAACACAATTGCTTAAAAAAAAAAAAAAGGGTTCCTGGCCGGTTCCATTTTCAGTGTTCGTGCATATGGCGCGTCATTTGCTCGCTTTCCGAAGCGACGAACACGCACGTGCAGGGCTGAGGAGATCGCACGCTGGGCTGAGGATTGGAAAAGTATTGGAGCGGTGTATTGGACGGTAACGTTTTTGAGGCGCGAAACGTTTACAGTCATGTCTCTTGAACCCAGCCTAATATTCAACAAAGTAACGGGGACGAATTGCGTAATTGCAGCATTTTTGTCTCGTTATTACGAATGACTCACATTATGGATCAGGTACGAAGGGGAAAGGAGATGTCCGTATTAGCGGGATATGACTGTACGACCTATCTTGCATACTTCTCCAAAACTGGAAATGAATGTGACGTCGAATTTTAAAATCCTTTTCCTACGAAAACAAAAATGAACAAATAAATAAAAGATATGGGACATTGTTTTAAGCTTTTCGTTACCCGCGTCTCTTTTTTGTGCTCTTCGCTGTACGCATACCTATGAAATGTGTATCAGAGTTGGGCCTTAACAACGTTTGAAACACTTTAAATTGTCACCACTATTAGCGATGTGCACGACCAAAAGCGTCGCTGCGGTCAGCTTTCCACGGTTGGCCAAACCATGGGCATATCAGCATTGTCAGATTGTCAACTTTGACGGTGTTAGTTTCGGATTGCGACGGCTCCTAGCTTCCACTGTGCTTTTTAAACACACCACCGAACTCGTCGTCGCACCTGATGGTAAGTAGCCAGGATAACAACTGGTGACGTCACGGTGAGGCAAATCCCAGTCGTGACGTCACGGATGGAAACCATAAGAGGGCGCCACCGAAACATCTCGGCGCTAATACCTAATAACCTATCTCTGGGAAATATGGTTCGGACTAGGATTTCTTCGACAGCTTAAAATGCGCGGGGCGTGGCTTACGTTCACGCATCTTGTTTCGTGATTGGTGGTTGGTCAGCGTTCTTGTCGGCTCATGCCACAATTTCATTGGCTGATGAGCCGAAAGATTCCCGGAGACTCGCCGTCTGTTTCTCGGGCTCTAGTTAACTGCAGGAAAATTGGGTACAGAAATGACAAATGCGGCAATGTCAAGAAATGAGCAAACGAGGGACCATACATACGTGTAATGCGGCTACACGTGACCTTACTTCCTTAATTCTTGTGATCATATATGGCATTTGTGCACGGGGTACTAATGGCAACTCACCGTATAATTGTGTTAAAGTTTGTGAGTCGGTCGGATGCGTCAGTGTCTCCGTCCGATTTACTCCAGCGTCATCCTCGGGTTCTCCAATCTTCTAAGTAGAAGAGAGGGGTCTTGCTCTCATTGTTACACAACGGACCGAGCTGCCGCACGTCACCGCCATTGCCGCTGTCAGTTTCATTGCAGCGTAGACGCCCCCCTTCTCCCCCTTGCACCCAGCTTCCTCCTTAGACCGAATTCGAGTCCGGACGAGCGAAAACGGAGCGATAAAACGCGCCGGACGGACACCCACCGAGGGAGCGTCGACTTAAAACCGACTCGGCGAGTTAACGTCGAGAATCAAAAAAGCCGGGAGGGGCACCCCTTTTGTCTCGCTCTATTAGCGCCGCGCTTCCTCTGCGCCGACCGTTTCACCGTAACTCGGCAAAGAGCGAACGCTAAAGCTCCCTGGAGCCAATCAGAACGACGGAGGCGAAGCACGTGACTGCCTTTATCAAACGTACAGGGGCGTAACCCAAGCAGTTGGACAAGAGGGGAAGGTGTGTGTCCCAGACGTGAATACAGGCACGTAGCCAGGGGGGGGGGGGGGGGGGGGCATGGGCCCCCCCCCCCCCCCCCCCGAAACAAAATCCTGGCTACGTGCCTGCGTCGATATATGCTCATCCTAGAAGCCCCAGAGTCACTGAGTAGAGCGTAGTTTTATTTATAACCTATAAGCCTATAGGTCATATAGTGACAATAAGTATTGACTCAAAATTGGTTCAAAAGCGTGTCTGTCTCCCGCTGTTTGCTTTTTATCTCACTAGTGGCGCGCAGTGCTGTTAGGGTATAGTCACGTGTGTCTCTCCGACGCGCCGATTGGCTCATTGGGATTGTAGCCTTCGCCGTTTGTCGACTTGTGGTGTGATCGAATATGGCGGGGGTTCTTTCCGCACCCTTCTCGACCCTTCGCAACGATCTCTGCTCGTGGTTAACCGAAGCTATATATCCCGCTCGTTCTTTTAGCCGCGCGCGGAGTTGTCCTTTCTGTCTTGGTTTGCGCGGGAAGTGCCTCGGAAACTTCCCGGCAGCCGCGGCGGCAGCGACCGCGTGACGTTTCAATTGGCTGATGGATTGCCGACGTTCGCCACGTTGGGCGCCAATTCCGGGGCGACGCGTATGCTTTCGCAGTTCGCCCGATCGCCGCCGTGGGGCGCCCTAGTCGCTCGAGGCTCGCGATTTGCTCTGACTGCTTCCCATGCCTCTATATCCGAACGACTCTCTGGATGTTCGTTTTGCAACAAGTCTCGCCGACAGCCAAAGGGGGGCACCGACACCCCAAAGGTCGTATTTTTTGTTGTTCTCTAAAACGATGCAAATTGTAATC